CCATTAAGAATTGTAGTGGCAGTTTCGAATGCGTGTGTGGCCTATACAGTGACTTGCGAGGCCGGCCGATAACCACATCATACTTTTATCCTCTCACAGAAACTGCTACCAGTTACCCCACTAAGAAGCAATTGGAGGCTTGGTCGGCCTGAGCGAGTGTCGATCCGGGGCTCAGTCCGGACCATGCGTAAGCGCCACCTGCCACTAAACCTCTTGCGCCGTGTTTGGTTGTGCAAAGGAAATAATTATGCTCATGTAAAATTGTAAGCTTTCAGCAGATGCTGTACAGGTTAGCTGTATTTGATGCTCCAACTTGAAGCGGTTTTTTAACCCAAGGAGTGGGTTTCTGCAGGAACTGATCGCAATTTCATTAATTGCAATGGTTTTACTTGGATTTTCCATGAAGTTGTTGCAATCACGAAGTATGACGAACAAATTCATTCATCGTCATTCCATTCCCAACACTTCCTCAAGAACTTCGAGAGCTGCTGAGTTCTTGGAAACTCCGTGAGCCAATCTTCTTCCTGCATTTGTAACAGCAATTTTCGATCATCTTCTTGAATGTTGCATTATGTTCTTATGTGTGCAAGTTTCTACATTGCTTAGCATGCTAGATGCTAGCTTACCGTTAATGTCCACATAACTTAGGGGGCGGGGTCTGTAGGTGGGCGGGGGCATTTGGTGCGGCATGATCTTTGATCCTTTATTTCGCTACTCAGAGAATATTTCAAATCGAATAATGCAATGGGGCAAGGGTGGAGGTTGTATAGGGGCATGTAGCGCTCTATCACACACGCATGGTCAAGGGTTCGAATCTCGCATCGATACCCGCCTAGGCTAACCAAGCCTTCCATCCCTTCGGGGTAGGTTAATGGGGTAGCGGGCATAGTCCTTAGACGGGACTGATAAGCACCCTAAAAGTTCATCTTTTATGCTTTTCTTCAACGGAAATGTACCCTTCGAAGTCTGTCCATCTCCAGAAGTTACTCATTTACTCGGCTGATTAGCCGCATTAATAAGCCGTTCCAATCAGCCGAGCACGACGTCGCCAGAAATGCTTTTTCTTGAATGAACGTCCTGAATTTTCATACTTCTGTGCCCAACCGTCTATACGGCTTGCAAACAGTCAACAGTCAAGTCAATTCGGAGGGTTAGAGAATGGCCTGAACGTATACTTTTACATTCTTCCAAAGCAACTTGTCTACTTTTGAGCCTTTTTCGTCAGCACGGTCTTCTTCCTCTTCTTTGTGAAGACCATACTCCCTTCTCCTTTCCAAGGTGACCTTATATGGTGTTGTATTTACCAGAGATTTTGAAGCAAGCGCTCAAGGTCCTCTTTGAATAACTGATGCCAAGAGTCAGCCTGCAGACG